ACATCTAGTGAACAGAGAGGCCAGGGATGCTTCTAAACATCCTATAATGCACAGGACTCCCCTTTCCATTAACGAATAATCTGGTCCCTAATGTCAGTAGTGCTGAGCTTGAGAAACTGCTGTAGGTAGATGTGTCAGAATCAAGGTATGTTGGCTGAAAAACAGGCCAAGACCTATCAATCAAGTACATATTATGCTTATTTTTTATGTGAGTAGTTCCTATGGAAAAAGACATTCATTAAAAATCTGCATTCATTCATTAAATCAACCAATCTATGCGGCATTTCTACTTAACTGGCGTTGCTGTACTAGCTGTGTAAGATTCATCAGTGAACACAGATAAAAGATCCCTGCCCTTGAGTACCTTTTGTTTAAGCAGGGTGAAACAGAATAATAAATATGATAAGTAAACTAGATAGCTGGTTAGAAAGTAGAGTTTTTAGAAAAGGAAAAAGTAGAGCAGATAAGGATAGTAGGAGTGCTGGGGGCATGGAGTGACAAACAAGGGTAGGCTATAATTTCAAATGAGCGTCAAAGTAGGTCTCACTGTCTGAACAAAGATTTAAGAGATGAGAGCATATAATGAATGTATGTTGCCTGAAGATAACAGTTCTGGTTTACGTTCAGTTCACAGGAAAGGGGAGTAAAGTGGATTGTGCTAACTAAGTGACCTGGGAGATACAGAGTTAGACCAGACATGGTTTCTGCCCTCATGGAACGTCATGGGAAAGTCACCATCTCGGAAATGACAGGAAAATGATGACAGCAAAGGCAGGATTTCATTTTTCCCTATTGCATTCGCTCCGGTTTTGATCCTTTTTCATGGCGGGAAAGTGACTGGTTAGTGATTACTTTCCATTCATCCTCCACATTTGATCCTTCTCAGAAAACAGTTAGACAGTAACCTGGGTTAAACAGTGAAATGAACGAAGGAAAAACATGAGTGCCAGACACAGTGCAGCGGGGTCAGAGCAATGGAGAGAGGTGAAACTCACAAAAGGAGTGAATGATTTGGAAGAAAGGGTTACAAGCATCTCTGTTAAGCTTCCTGGCAGGCAGTGACCAGTTTACAGTGTTTGAAACAAGCCTCCCATTAGCTCTTTCTGCCTCTCAGGTACGGTAACAATACTAGGAACTACGTGGTTCGGGTTGGGGATTATCATACGCTGGTGCCAGAGGAGTTTGAAGAAGAGATCGGAGTCAAGCAGATCATAACCCACCGGCACTACTGCCCACAGAGCAACGACTATGACATCGCCCTGGTTAGGTTACAGGGACCAGAGGAGCAGTGCGCCAGACTCAGCAGCCACGTTCTGCCGGCCTGCTTGCCACGCTGGAAAGAGAGGCCACAGAAGGGAGCCCCCAGCTGCTACATAACAGGATGGGGAGACACAGGTAACATAGAAAACCCAAGGAAACAGTGAAGATATGGCCACCTTCTGGCGTCTGGATTATCCATTTGGGTATGCAGTGGGTTGTTCAGTCGCTAAGTCATGTCACTCTTTCTGACCCCACAGACTGAGGCACACCAGGCTTCCCTGTTCTTCACCATCTTCTGGAGTTTCCTTTAACTCCTGTCCATTGAGTTGGTGATACCATTCAACTGTCTTGTCCTCTGTCGCCCCCTTCTCCTGCCTGCAATCTTTCCCAGCACCAGGGTCATTTCCAGTGAGTCGGCTGTTTGCATCAGTGGCCAAAGTATTGGAGCTTGTTTCAGCATCAGTATCCCATTCAGTACAGTGGGTAGCAAAATCTTAAAAAGGGGGTTTAGGCTTAGCTGTTTGGAAATTCCGCCAAGTGTGAGATGCTTGCATGCAGTTTGGATTCCTATCCTGAGGGTACTATGGTTTCCATTAGGATGTAGACGCTACCTTAGGACTTGGGCCTAGCTGTCTCTGTTTGAAAGTTTTCCCAGATGACTTTGACGTAGCTACCCCAGCAAATAGAGAAGGAAATGGCGACCCACTCCAATATTCTTGCCTGGAGAATCCCACGGACAAAGGAGCCTGGTGGGCCACAGTCCATGGGGTCACAAAGAGTCCGACACTACTGGGCAACTTAACACACACACAACCCAGCAAAGGGCTTTGGTATTAGGTTTTCTTTTTTTTGTAATGGAGCCCTGTATCAAACTAAATCGTAAGGAGATTATATAAAGGACAGCCAAAAAACAAAACAAAGCTGCTGAGGTTCAAGAGGAAGCATCCACCCCACTTGGGTTTCTCCTTCACCACTCTCCCCTTTCTATTCTTCCCACAGATAGTGTTCAGCTTATGCTCTTCTCAGGCAAACAGCTTTCTGTATTGTCTTGCTAGAGTTAACATCAGCTAGTGCTTTCTCAGGAGCTCAGGGGTAAAGAATCCCCCTGCTAATGCAGGAGATGTGGGTTTGATTCCTGAGTCAGGAATATCCCCTGGAGAAGGAAATGACAACCCACTCCAGTGTTCTTGCCTGGAGAATCTCATGGACAGAGGAGCCTGGTGGGCTACAGTCCATGGGGTCACAAAAAATTGGACCTGATGTCCTAAACAACAGTGCATGCTCAGGATAGTCTTTGAAACAGAACTGTTAAGTCTCGCTTGGATCAGGTACTCAATTCACAAATGACTGTTGAATAAGGAGAAATTGGGCTGACTGCTCTGCATTAAAAATAATTAACACTGTTAACTGTACTCTTGAAAACAGCATCTAATAAAAATTTCTACAGGTGATGATTTCAATAAGGTTTTACCTAGTAAATTTATTATATTTCAGTGTTCATTTTATCTGTTAAATCTTGGCTTTAGACTGGGAGTCCATGGGATTGTGAAGAGTCAGATAAGACTTAGCAACTAACACTTTCACTTTCTTTAGATTCAACACTATTTCATAGCAGCAAAATGTAGAAACACCTGTAGCAGATACAGAATACTGGGACCAATCCTGAGAGAAACCATAAAAAATGGAAACATTTCCTGGATGATGTAATAAAATCAAGTCAGAGTAAATGCTTTCTCAAGGAAACACTATGCTGAGCTCTGATGCAAATCGAAGATTAAAGTGTAGGTGTTACAATTACTTCTTCAGGGAGAGTTCAGTCATCTTCCTTAAGACAGACACTACATCTGAACAGAGGTTAACACAGGAAGTACATTTCACCAAATGATTTTATTATGAAAATCACTGCAGTTGAGTATACTGGACAATAATGGTGGAATTTAGATGCAAGTAAAGGCTATCATGGATAACCTACCAATTATGCATTTTAGCCCCTAAACAAAGAATGAGTGGCTTACAGTAAATACAGTACCTTAGCATCAAGAGTTTAAACTTAAGGCTGTCTGTATATAAAGTTGTTTCTGAATCATCTTCATGAAATATTGAGGATAGTATTTGCCAGCTGACATAGATGAGTTTTAGAGCAATGGATATGCTAATACAGAAGTAGCATGAGTGCACTCTCAGCATTTTAATACAGAGAAGTTAAATTCTAGAGTATGGTTAACTGCTCACTCTAGTACTCTTACCTGGAAAATTCCATGGATGGAGGAGCATGGTGGGCTACAGTCCACAGGTTTGCAAAGAGTCAGACATGACCGAGCGACTTCATTTCACTTCAACTGCAAACACTGAAGGAAAAAACCATTTATAGTTATCGCTCATTTAAACTACACTAATGCCACAATAAAGCTTTCTTCAAGACTATTAAATGTTCATTTAACTGTTAAATATAGCTCTTTCTCTAAGATCTTTAGCTGGAATCTAATCCAGTTGTTTGGCCTGCATAGGACCAGCCTACTCAAGAACTCTACAACAAGCAGCCATCCCCTTACTTGCCAAGAGGTTTTGTGAACATCGTTATAAGGGTCGGTTTACACGAAGGATGCTCTGTGCTGGAAACCTCCATGAACACAAACGTGTGGACAGTTGCCAAGGAGACAGCGGAGGACCACTTGTGTGTCAACGACTGGGAGGGAGCTGGGTTGTATATGGGGTGACCTCCTGGGGATATGGCTGTGGAGCCAAGGATTCCCCTGGTGTTTATACCAAAGTCTCAGCCTTTGTACCTTGGATAAAAAGGGTCACCAAACTGTAATCCTTCATGGAAATGTCAAGAAGATAGTATTTAAAGAAAATGTTGGAAAATTTCCAACATTGGCATTTAACCGGAGATGCCAACTAATGGGAGTGGAGATCTACGTTTTTGTGTTGTGCTGAAAAAGTGATGTACCTCTTTGCTGCTTGAGAATTCATGATGTGAACATTCTGGTTACAGATACCTCAGTGTAGTGATGACTATTCTTATTTAGCATTGTTGTCTACCCAAATTAGTTTTATGGGAGACTACATTGGTTATTCTGTCTTGTCTCAATCTCTCAGCATTCTCCAGAGATTATTGTATATTGATTGTGCAATAAGGCTGTTTTTATATGTATTTGGATTGAGAACTCCTTTGTAACTGAATTAGTATGGTATATATTCATATTAAGGGCCTACCTTTGATATAAAAAAATACCCTTTACTACAGTTAAAATAAAAGTGGCAGTGTTTTCTGTTGATGTGATTTTTAAGCTGATTTTTTTCCCTGAAGGTTGATAAACAATCTCCACAGATGAGCCTTTCTGGCCTTTCACAAGTGAGAAAAGTACAGAATCCAAAAAGGTAAAGCAATCCTATTACAAACAGACTGGACTAGGAATATGTCACAGTACATTTCTGAATGAATCCTTTATACCAAGGCACTATGGCAACTAGAGAAAAACACTCTAGCTACCTTGTATGTTGCTAGCACAATTTGGCATTCCAGATGACATTAGGAATATCTTCAAATAGTGTAATACATAACCTGATTCATCCACTGTGTACTTGCCAACATTTATATGGCTACTTTTAATGACTTCAGATTTGCTGCTTGGTAAAACAAAATTTTTCTTCCTTAGCAGCATGCTCTTTTCTAGACTGTGGTGTAAGAGTGCCACCTATTGCAACTCTCTGGTAACTAACTGAAACCTGCAGATTTCCTAAGACAGTCCTGATAAGAAGTCAAGTTGCTCAGTCATGCTGACTCTGACCCCAGTTGACTGTAGCCTACCAGACTTTTCTGTCCATGGCATTTTCCAGGGAAGAGTACTGGAGTGGGTTGCCACTGCTGCCTTCTCCAGGGGATCTTCCCGACCCAGGTTTCCCACAGTGCAAGCTTTATCCTCTGAGCCACCAGGGAAGCCTGCCATCCTGACACAGTCCCATCTAGTAAAGACTTTGTTGAGTTGCTGTGTCCTCTTCTTTCCAACTCCAGGGACTGTAGCACGCCATGCTCCTGTCCTCTCACTCAAATTCATGTCTGTTGTGGCACTGATGCTCACGCATCTCATTCTCTTCCTAATAAAAACACACAATTACAATGCTTTCCTGTCTGTAGCATAGGAAAGCTCTAAAATAACTGCAATATTTAATCCATATGCCAGTTATGTACTAGGTGACTATGCACCTCATTGACAGTTTATAAAAGGCAGGTAAGATTTTATAGTATCCCTAGTTTCCAAATGAGTTAACAAGCAGAGGCCAATGAGACACTTGGAGGGTTTTCAGTCCAAACTCCAGGAGAGTCACAAGGAAGACAAGGGAATCTCTTTCCACCTAGTTTTCCGTTTCTCAAAGGAGTAAGGGATAGCTGCTTTCTGTGCATCCTTGCTGGAGAAGGAAATGGCAACCCACTCCAGTATTCTTGCCTGAGAATCCCATAGACAGAGGAGCCTGGCGGGCTACCGTTCATGGGATCGTGAATCAGACTTGGTGCTGCCTTTCTCTTATGCAGCCTTACAGGGCATTCTTGGTGGCAGTACAAAAATCTGTCCCAATATGTAGTTTAAGGAATTGTGTATACAAGGGATAGACGCATAAAGACAGGTAAAGAGGTGAGTGCAAAACTATAGAATTAAGAATGCTAAGTAACCCTTTTATTTAATTATCAAATCCAATTTTTAAATTTTTTTTTACATTAATTTTTATTAGTTGGAGGCTAATTACTTCACAACATTGCAGTGGGTTTTGTCATACATTGACATGAATCAGCCATGGAGTTACATGTATAAGTAATCCTTTTAAATGGCTGGTCACAAAGCGACCTTTTTATTTCCTTTCTCTTCTGCATCATACTGTGTCCTTTTGTAAACTGAGGCATGTAAAAAACTGGTGCTAATCTGAAAGTGCTTTATAACTTACTTTGCAGAATTGCAATGCCAAGCTATATTTTTCAAAACACATTTGATAAAGGAACTGTACAAGCATTTACATTTAGAGATGACAGAACCATAGTGCACACATGCATAAGGGCCTGGGAAAAACATACAGTGCAGGTGAAGAAAACTGTCACTAGTTTCTCAAGGGCCATCCTTGTAATTAAACTGCAGTGCTGGTGTAAACATTCATAGTGGAATGCTAACTGTTACCGAGTCCAGCCTCGCGCATCCAAAATGAGGTGTTGGGGCAAGGAAGAGACTTAATCGGGGAGCCAGCAGACTGAGATGGCAGGCTAGAACCTCAAAATAACCATCTTCTTGGGGTCTGGATGCCAGGTTCTTTAATAGATCAGAGAGAAGGAACCAATTAGGAACTAAAGTCAAAAGGCAGAATAGAGAGGGCGATACAGTGAGAAGTGAAAAGGTCTCCAGTCTTGCAAATAATATCTAGCCTTCAGAAGTGTGTTAATCTCTTCTATTCACAGGTGGGCAAGGACTTCCAGGCAAGCCATTGAGTATGATTATAAAAGCCAAGCCAAATAAAATTTCCAACCTAAGAGTCATAATTGGCTTCCTCCTTACAACTAGACCAGAGACTGGTTAACTTAAAAGGTCAGGTAACAGGTTATCTTCAGTTTCCCTTCATAAAATATAACCATTATAACTTTTTCTTATTAAATGACTCGAAGACCCAAGTGTCAACTGCACATGCTATGTGTTCCCTAAATACCATATACAGTACTAACTCATATTACCACCACCGGAGCTGGTAACAGTAGAACAGGCTGCATCTGTTCTCTGTAGTTACCTATGCACTTACAAGACCTCGGTTTGATCCCTGGATGGGAAGATCCCCTGGAGAATCCCAAGGACACAGGAGCCTGGCAGGCTACAGTCCATGGGGTCTCAAAAGAGTTGGACATGACTTAATGACTAAACCATTCCCATTGTACTCATAAATCATTCACTCCTGGAACACTCTATGTACAAATTGAGCATTTTATTATACAAATAAAAGCAGCATGCACTTATTCTCTATTTAAATACCATACACGAGATTTAAAATCACATTTAGCAGTGTCCTGCAGAATGCTCAGACTTCACCCACATCACTTTGGATTTCTTGGTATATCTGCAAGAGAGAAAACCAGCTTAACAAGACTGATTTGAGTACAGTGTTAAGATTTTAGCAGCTAAAGCAGTTACAGTCTCTTCAGTTGGCTATTGAGTTACAAAACGCCTGCACAATGTGCCAGTTCTGGCCTTCCAAATCCTTAGCTCTAAGGATTGGATACATACAACAGGAACGTACCTCGTTATGCTTTCCATCATCCACTGGAACCATTAGCTCAGCTTCCTAGAAACATTTGAACAGTAGTTTAATGTTTGCCCAATAACCCAGCACACTGCAGGTTTTTAAAGTGAAGAATGTTACTTGTGCAAGTCAGAATCTGATACCAATTAAATGGTGACAGCTTTGCCAATAAACAAGAATATGCTCTTCCATGGCTAGGAAGGGAGACTGCCACAGCCGACAGGTCCCAAAGATACATGGAGGTTCATAATCCCAGAAAGGACCAGAAAAGGCAACTACAGACACTACTCACCACTTGGATCAAACCGTCAGGATGCGGTGTTGCTCTTCAAGAGTGGCAGAGTAACAAGATTCAAGATGGCCACATGGCACCGACAGTACAACGCACGACCTTCTTCACCCGAGTCATCGGCGGTATTTAACCTCTGCCGGAGGGCCCACGACCCACGCGCGACTGGCTTCCGACTCAGCTCCCGGGGCTGCACATGGCCGCCCCGCTAACGAACGAACATGAAATTTCACTCAAGCTTCTGAACCTAGACGTTTTCAAAGCTAACGTCGGTCTACTACTACAAGACCGCTGCATCTCCTGCATCTTAAACTAGGCCGAAAAGCCGTGTTCTTTGTTACTTTACCTCACAAAACAACCACACTCTAGCGCCTTTCGCTAAACCAGACGCTTACCGGATGTAAAAGGCCGGAGTCGTCTGCACAAGCTCTCTTATAGCGCTGATGATGCCATTCCGGGGAGGCGCCGCGAGGGGCGAGGCCTGCGCACTTGCTCCCTCCGCCCCGCCCTCGCGGCTCGGCCCGCTCCGTTGGCCACCTCCTCCCTGATGGCCCCGCCCCTTCCTCAGTGTTCCGCCCTCCTCGCGCGTCTTCTAGATCTGCCCTGCTAGCGCGGTGTCTGACTTTGACGCATGCGCATACAGGCCCCTTCCCCTTCCTCAGTGCTCCGCCTTCCTCGCGCGTCTTCTAGATCTGCCCTGCTAGCGCGGTGTCTGACTTTGACGCATGCGCATACAGGCCCCTCCCCCTTCCTCAGTGCTCCTCTCTTCTCGCGCGTCTTCTAGATCTGCCCTGCTAGCGCGGCTTCTGAGTTTGACGCTTGCGCATTACAGAGTTCTCCCCAGAAGGAAATCCTTCAGATCTCGCGCGTACGCTGTGTGGAGAAGGTGAAAGGGTTGTGTTGTTTCTTGTATACTTTAAGACAGTTACCTTAGAAGTCGCTGTTACCAAAATGCCAGGTTCGATAGTTCTCTTCTTCTTAACCTTTTGGTAGGTTGATTTCTGTGGAAATACCCTTTTTTTCTCTGCTTAAAAAACTTCGTATCTCCCCTAAGTAAGGGTTAGTCGCTCAGTCGTGCCCGACTCCGTGACCCCATGAGTGTAGCCCACCAGGCTCCTGAGTCCATGAGATTTTCCAGGCAAGGATACTGGAGTGGGTTAGCCATCCTTCTCGAGGGGATTTTCCCAACCCAGGGATCGAACCCGGGTCTTCTGTACTGCAGGCAGTCTTTACCGACTGAGCTACGAGGGAAGTCCATGGTTTCCTGTATTCCACTGAAATTACTGTTTCTGAGCGCAGGTGTTAAATGGTCTACAATAGGTTATTTTGTTTTGTTTTTCGGGAGTCTGAGCTCTTAGGAGTAGTTGTACTCATTTTTGAAAGGCTTGCCACACGAATTTGTACACAGAATAGGAGAAGACAACAGGAGCGTGAGGGAGATGCTTTTTCGTGCGTGTGTGGACATTTCGTCTGTTGCCCGCTCGCTCACAGTTTGTGGTCTACAGTTAGCGTCTCCAGAGCTGCTGCTGACTTTTGAAAGAGCGCACCTGGGTCTTAACATCCGTGACTTACGTTTCTTTAAGGGTGAAAGTAAAGCATAAATCTATTTTTTGTAAAAGGAAATTAAAGATATTTAGGAATACGTTTAGTCCTAGGCATGTGCATGGAGCAGGAAGTGGCAACCCACTCTAGTGTTCTTGCCTGGAAAATTTCATGGACCCGGGAGAGTCTGGCTGGCTGCAGTCGTTGGGATCCCAAAGAGTCAGCAGGACTGAGTGAGCACTTGTGCTTGTTAAATGTCACTGAAATTTATTTTCTGTTTTCCATTTTAGTTTTCACCTCGTGTGAAACAAAAAGGTGGAGCTAGGTGAAGCTTTTACTTAGTAGTGGACAAGTTGGAGCACTGTGTTGCAGCAGTTGTCAGGCATACTGGTATCAAGAGGTCTGAACTTTCCAGGTGGCTCAGTGGTAAAGAATCGTCCTGCCAGTGTAAGAGATGCAGGTTCAGTCCCATGATTGAGAAGATCCGTTGGAGAAGGAAGTGGCAACCTACTCCAGTATTCTTGCCTGGGAAATCCCATGGCCAGGAACCTGGTGGTCCATAGCCCATGGAGTCGCAAAGAGCTAAATAGGACTGAGTAACTAAATAACAACAATACCTGGTGAATAAAGTGCTACAAAAGAGATCCCTGAAGCTTCTTGAAATTGCTGAAATTAGAGTAAAATTTCTTGTTATGGTTAGGGTTGGGACTGGACAAGTTTATAAGGGCATAATAAATTTTAATTTGAAAGAGCTAGAGCTGTTCCTAAGGCTGACCTTATATCACTTTTTTTACCTTTACTCTTCATGTCAGTATTGAATGGAAAGAACTGTTGAATGACAATGCTTAAATTAGAAATCACAGAGGGGAATTTTGCCAAAATGGGTGTGATTTTTAGAATCTGTAACTGAGCATCTGTGTTATTTTGCTAAGGCTGATATGACAATATACCACATATTGGGTGGCTTAAACACCAGAAATTTGCTTT